TTTTTTTTTTTGGTACTGGGGATCGAAGTCTGGTCCTTGTGCTTGCAAGGCAGGCGGTGGCACCACTGAGCTAAATCTCCAGCCCACCTCCTTCCTTTCTTTTTGCAATACTGAGGATGGATTCGTAGTCGCTTTCATTTCTTATTTTCAGATAGGATCTCACTAAGTTTCCCAAGCTGTCCTCAAACTTTCTATCCTATAATCTCAGATTCTCAAGCTGCTGGGTATATAGGTATATAGGTATGCACCACCATGCCCATCTCATTTATGAGTTTTTAATAGAGATTACATATTGAAATGATGACATGTTGGCAGAGGTTAAATAAGATATACAATTAACATTAATTTCATCTTTTTTTAATGTGACTAGTAGAAAATTTTAAATAGCACTGTGATTCACATTTGTATCTGTCATCAACAGTACTGATCCAAACATAGCTATTCCTCTTCCTGAAAAGGTATCTTCCTGAAAGAGTTAAAGGCATTGTACTACAGGGATCCGTGCATGCCCACGTTTATAGCAGCATAATTCATAATAGCTAAATCTTGGAAGCAGCCTATGTCTCTGGATAGATGAGTGGACAAAGAAAATGTGGTATTTACACATGGTGGAGTACTATTCAGCCATAAAGAATGATAAATGAGTCATTTGTAAGTAAACAGGTGCACCTTGAAGCCATAATGTTTTGTAAGTCAGACACACAGGCTTGAATATCACATGATTTTTCTTATACGAGAAACCCAAGTTATAAATAAAGAGCAAAGTAAAAGATAGATAATAGGAAGAAGGGAGAATAGATTTCTTTTTCAAATGGGAAGGGGATCAAGAGACAGAGGGAGAAGCCAGGTGTGGTGGCTCACTCCTGTAATCTCAGCACCCGGGAGGCTGAGACAGGAGGATCGCTGTGAGTTCCAGACCAGCCTGGGCTACAAAGTGAGTTCCAGGTCAGTCTCAACTACTTAGTGAGACCCTGTCTCAAAAAAAAAAAAAGACAGAGGGAGGGTGAGGAAAAGGAAGGAAAGGAGATGAATAAAGGAATTAAGATGCATTGTGTGCATGTACCAAGTACACACAAGGAATGTAAACATTATGAACCCTAAATGTGCACTAATAAAAAATTCAAAGAAGAAAGAGGAGGGCGGAGGGGGAAGAAGTGGATTAAGCAGTGGGAAAAGCATGAGCTTTGCCCTCAGAGAGACTAAGGGTCTGATGAGGAAGTGCCACTTCCTGGCTGGTATTGAAGGGGGAGTCACTTAACCTTGGTTTCCCTCGCTAATGTCTGTGAAATGGGAGGAGCAAAAATTCCTGCCACAAAAGAATGTTTTTTGAGGCTTAGGTAATATCAGATACAAATAAAGTGCTTAACTCAACCCTAGGCGCAAAGTAGGTGCTCAGATAAATGGTGGTTTCAGCTTTTGCTACATGTGTTAGGGCCGTTTTGCACGCAGAAGTATGCTAAGTAGATCTCAGAGATAAATAAATGCCAGTAACTCTCGTTTGTTAGGCACGATAAACTTGTGCTTACTGTTTTCACTGGATTTGAACTTCAGAACACCCTTGGAAGCACGGACAGCTCCTTAGAGGTGAGGAGCAGACTCCGGGACTCCTCAGGGTCAGGTAGGAACTAGCAGCGGGCCTTCTGTCAGCCCTTGAAACTTTCCAAGCCTTCCAGGCATATTTCTGTGTCTGTTTCCAGCTGGGTGGCTTCCACAGTGGTCCCAGAACAATAAAAAAGACAGACACATAGGCCCACCCGGCAACCTGCAGGGCCGACCCTCCCTGATGACGCTGGCAGGGTGCTGTTCCGTGCCCCGGGAAGACCCTTAGGGCAGGAAGAGTATCACCGGGCTTTGGCACTTTTCCCCCAGCCTGGTGGAGAGCTCATGTTGACATCTGTGACCGTGAAGAGGTAGCCCATGAAGCCACGGCCCCTGGACACATTAACACTCACTCACTTTCCAAACCAATATCACACTTGCATGTAAGGAGCACCCATGGGAGACATTCCTCCCACAAGCTCATTTGCAGCTTGTAAATTCCTATATTACAGACCTTCCCACATCAGTACATGTACAGCACAATCAAACTGTAAGGTAGGTTTAAATTTTTTTAATCTATGACCATAAAAGGCACATTGCCATGGACCCCTCAGAATCCTCCCCCCTCACTTCGAAGGTACTGTCCCATCTGTCTTGCCTCTTTCTGAAGCACTTCTGCCTGTCTTCTTTTGTGAGTGGCTTTGAAGGCTCCTGCCAGGTACCATCCCACGGAAAGGCAGGCTTACAAAAACATTCCTTGCGTCTAGCACTGTGTGACTTCCGGCTCTTCCCCAAAGTCAAAATGATCACGAAAGCTAAATGTTTTGAATTGATTTCATGACATCAAGGCAGCCACCGTGGCAATGTGTCTTTTACCGTAATAAATTTCTTAATTTAAAATTTTGCTATATTCTTTCATCACACCTCACAAAGGGCTACCTCATCCTTTATATTGAGACACGTTATTCTATATTATGAGGGCCTCCCCCACCTTCGGCGCTGGATCTAACTCAGAACCTTGCACTTGCCAGGCAGGTGTGGCACTGCTGAGTAGCAACCCTGGCTTCCCTCAAGTAGAGTTGTGCTGGAGACAAATGATTTGGCCACTGGAACTTTATAGATTTTGATAAACTGTTCTCTAAGACGTGTGTATCAATCAGCCTTCCCACCAGCAATGTACGAAGTGGCAGTGTGAAGTCCCCCAGGCCATCGGTATGACCAGGTGTCTCATGATAAGTCAGTGTGGAAGAAGCAGAAAGAGCGTGAGAAGGCAGCTGGGAAACTAGTCAGCAGGCTGGGGCAGCTGTTCGAAGACGAGAGGAGAGGTACCTGAAATGGCACAAGAGACTGACAGAGGATGGAACCCAGAGCTAGTGTGGAAGTCAAATCTCAGGCAGTGGTGGTGAGTGAGAGGGACAGGAGGGAGGAATCACAGATTCCCCAGTTTCTGGGTATTCAATGGTTGTGTTTCCCAAGAGGCTGCCCAGAAGAGGAATCGTCACAGTAAAGGGAAATGACTCTGGCTGAGAATACATTGAGCTTGACATACAGGACACTCTGAGAGAAGAGTCTGCTGGACCAGAGAAGAAAATTTGGGGAAGGGTGAATCATGTGTGGAAACCATGATTGTGCAGGACCTCTTACAGAGATGGTGGATGGGTGGGTGGTGGATGAGTGGATGGGTGGATGGATGGTTGGGTGGGTGGTGGATGGGTGGATGGATGGGCGGATGGATGGGTGGATGGATGGATGGATGGATGGGTGGGTGGGTGAATGGGTGGATGGATGGGTG